TCTGCACACTCTGAGCAAAATGAATGAATTTTACTATTTAAATATTTCAAATTAATTAGTTATCTAATCCCATTTAATTATTTAACCCTTATGGCTGTCTAAGAGATAGGTACGATTATTGCCATTTCACAGCTTAGGAAATAAGGACAGGAGAAATGAAGTCACCTGCCCAGGGTACACATAGCTAGGTACACAGATACACACCCTGCTTCCAGGGTTCATCCTTTCGTCCCTCCTATGCCCACTCCCAGGTTCCTGAGCTTAGCAAGAGACACATTGGGGAAAAAAAGGGTGCCATGCTGACCTCCATTCTCCCTCAAGCTCCTCCTGCTGCACACAGATCATCTTTCTGGCCTTGGGTGAAGGGCAGCCTGCAGGTGGCCAGGTAAGCTTCCAGATGTCAGGGCAGGGAGATAGCAGTTCCCATGCTCTCAGATTCTGTGTTTCTGGGGCTGAACTCCCCTGCCCCCTGGGCTGTCTGCCTCTACTCCTCACTGTGGATTAGGTAGTAACCCACACACACACAGCCTTGACCTGGCAAGCAATCAGCATAAGACTACAGAGAGGCACACAAAGACAGAGGTACCCTCTGAAGCCAAGTTAAACCAACCCACATAGGTGGAGATCCTGCCGTGGAAGCCACTTGTTTGTTCCCCGAGTCTCACCTACATGCCACAGCCACATGTCTGAGAGCATCCCCAGAGAGCCCGTCAAGCACCCCTAGGGAAGGGGTAGGAGGGAAAGAAGGGTACAGAACTGCTGCATATAGCCTGACAAACCAGACCCCAGAGCTACACCCCACCGCAGCCATCACGGCCTTCCAGGGTGGAGGCTGTCACCCATCAGTCAGAGTCCTGATGCTTACTAAGAAGGTGCTGTTAACTGTTTTACACAAAAGAAAACTTGGGGCAAAGTCCTATACCAACCAGATTTTATCATCTTGGGATAAGGGGGATAGGGTTGACTGGAGGGAAAGGAGACCTAAAATTCAGGGTTTAGAGAAGAGGGATAGCCTCATGTGTGGTACAGAATCCATTTGGTTTGGTTTGGTTTGGTTTGGTTTGGTTTGGTTTGGTTTGGTTTGGTTTGAGACAGGGTGTTCCTATGTAGTCTAGGCTGGCTTTAAAACTCATGGAGATCTGCCTGCCTCAGCCTCCTGAGTGCTGGAATTACAGGTGTACACCACCACACCTGGCTGTGGAAAGTATTTGAGAGGAGTCTCCCCTGAAGTCCCACTCACCCACAAGGAAACTCTGGATTTTTTTTTTTTTTGAGACAGGATTTCAATAATTTGCTAAATTGTCCATTTCAAACTTGTGATCATCCCACCTCTGTCTTCCAGAGTGCTGTGATTCCAGGCAGCACCACCATACTGCGCTAACTGTGGACTCTTACAGTATCCAGGCCTGAGCAACATACATTGGTCTGTTCTGGTTAGGCACCCACAACATTCATGTTCGTGGACCCAGAGATGACACTCTCTCCTCCAGAAGTTGTAGTTCTAAGAGGGGCTGATACTTTGCTTTGTGAGGCAATTGCTCTGGAGACAGCATAATGAGTGTCACACGAAGAAAGCTCAAGGGACTTGAGAGGACAGAGGAGGGGCAGCTGGCGCAGTGGGAGTAAGGGAGGGGTCAGCCAGACTGCCTGGAGGGAGGTTTAGAAAAAGTCAAAATTATCCAGACAAACAGGGTGATGTTAATTAAGGGTAGCTTTCAGCAAAGAGAAATGTGAGCCTTGGGGAGCTGCTAAAAAATGGTGGGTGAAAGTAGGGTAAAAGGGGAGCTGTCTGTGGCCAGGGCAGAATGAGAGGCCCTCAAGGCAGGATCTGTGGATTTCCAACCTGAATAACATGGGACAACCAGACCTTCACACTACCTCTCCTGACCCTGGAACATTCCAGCCTAATCACAGCTCAGATCGGCAGCTCTGGAGGCTCTGTGCCTCTGAACCACACCTAACTTGCTCGGGGTCTAGTCAGTCTGCTGGAGCTACAGCTGTGGGTCCTGGGGTCGCCCAGACTCTGCAAAGGCTAGATCCTAGAGTTTTTACCTTTCCAGATTCTGAGGGAACTGGGTAGGACTGAAAGGGTGAAAGGAGGAAATAGAGCCAGAGGCCCCACCTGTGGAAGGGACACAAAGATCCTGTCTCAGGAACAAGACTTGGGAGTGATCTTGATTCTCAAGGAGGCCCTGCTCAGGCTACTCTTTCTCAAGGGCTGAGGGACAGGATTTCAGCTCCACTCAGACCCAAGCCTGCACAGAGCCCTGTACCAGGAGGGGAGGACAAAGATCACAGATAAGGACTTGGGAGCAGCAGCCCCCAGTCCTGAAAGGAAGGATCAGAGGGCTCTATTGTCCTTTAAAATGCTTTGTTTATCTGATAAAGTTTGCATTCTTTTATTAAACTCCTGAGGGTAGCTCTTTTCCTAAGCGGGTGCTAGGAGGTAGGGGCAGCTGCCTTAAATACAGTACCTAATGTCACTAATTTCAACCTGAGGTATAAAAGACAGAGAAAAGTTCCCTTTTCTTTTCCACCAGGGAACCTCCTCACCTCTTCACCCTTTACCTTTAGCCCAGTTCCTCTCTTCCCCTGCCACAGGGTAGCAGGTCCTTAGCACTGACATAGATAAAAGGTAAAGGCATCCCAGCTGCTTAGGAGGCTGAGGCGAAAAGTTCATTGGAGCATAGTTGTTTGAGATTAGCCAGAGCAATGTAATGAGACTTGTTTCTTTAAAAAGTTGCCTGATGTGGTGGCACTGGTTTGTAATCCCAGCACTTGAGTCTTAGGCAAGATTGCCATGAGTTCAAGGCCAGATTTCAAGCCCAGCCTGAAGTACATAGCAAAATCCTGTCTCAAAACATACACACACACACACACACACACACACACACACACACACAGAGGAAAAAAGTTAAAGGCAAAGAAAAAATGAGTAGAATAGAGAAGAAATCAGGCTAGGGGGTCAGTGGCTCTCCCAAGATCTGTGAACTTCATGTCCCACACCCAAGGACCAGATACCAGCAGCTGTACTGAGCCAGAAGGAGAGCTCCCAGGTGACCTCTGGACCATTCCCTGGAGGCATCTGTCTTGACTCAGCCTCCCCAGCAACGGCAGCCACAGACGAAACCACAGCCGCAGCCACCGAGATCATCTACCTGTGCTGTCCAGGTTTTCATTCTTACCTTTCTTAATCCCCACAAACTTCATGAGAGTTTAATCCCATTTAACAGGTAAGGTAACTGAGACCCGAGGAAGTAAAGTGACTTTTCAAGGTCACACAGTTTAAGAGTATCAGAGGCAGAAGTCTGCTTTCCTTTAGCCTGCAGAGGGTAACGATGCTGGACTGTCATCCCCACTGTCCCCGCTGTGCCGGCTCATGCTCAGCCCACAGCACCCAGTAGCACCAGCTGCACTCTGCAGTGCGTCTGACCAGTTCTTCCGGGGCAGCCCATTCTACCAGCCTCATGCTGCCCTCCACAGCTGCACCCTCATGTGTCCCAGACCCCAGGAGTATTTGATTCCAGTGCTTCAAAAATGAGAGCTGCTTGGATTTTTCATGGGGAAGGGAACAGGCAGCAGGGCCAGTGCATCCTGGCACATGGGCAGAGGCTGAGTTCTGCTTGGCACACTATCTGGGGCCAACTTGGCCTGCCTCAGCCTTACAAGCAGAGTAGCTGTGGAGACTTTCGTTATTTGGTATTACATTCAGGAGGGAGGAGGAGGAGGAGAGAAAGGGAGGGGCACCACTAGCTCTGGGGGTGCGGATGAGTGGAGATTTATAGCTCCCTCTGCCAAAGAAGTTATGCCAGGTCCCTGCCGGTGACCTGAGTGCTGCTGCAAGCCCTGTGTAGGTGTGTTCACCTACTCCAGTGGTTCTCTGTCTTCCCCAGTCCTGCAGGCTCTGCTCCCATCTGCCTGGGGCGCCTGGGACCAGCAGGAGCCCCGCCTGATTCCTCCATTTTGGAAAAAGGATAGGAGCTCCACTCTTTCACAGAAAGTTCTACACTCATCTGTTGAACGGATGAAAACAGTTTTAACAGGCAGCCATGGATCTGTTCTCTCCCTTAATTCCTCCTAGAAGCACAGGTTGTAGAAGCAAAGAAACCTGGGTCTGAGTCCCAATTCCTCCGTTTTTAGCCTGAGTGGGACCCTAAACAAGTTACGTTTTTTGGCCCTTAAGTCCCTCATTTGCAAATTGGCAGAGTGATGTAATATAACACCTAATGAAAGAATGTATGACAAACACACCTATCAAGTGCCTACTATGTTACAGGAGGTTTCATGTACTATCTCACTAAATCCTCAAAATCACCCTGGAAATTGGATGCTAGTAAATTGCTCCCATTTGTAGGCAAGAAAAGCAAGGCGTGGCTTAAGTTGCCAAAACTGACAAACTGCAGAACTGAGCTCCTTCCACAAATGGCTGACCCCTCGTCCACAATGCTTTGCGTTGGCCCCATACTCCAGGGGCTGGTGCACATGGGCACCCACAGCCACTGGCTGACTCCCTAACCCATTTTGCAGCAGCACCCAGAGACACTGCCCCCTGGGCCAGCCCACTGCCTGGGCCCCAGGCTTTCTTGATCCTGTGGAAGACACCCTCTGGCCACCCCCCTGAAAGGCTCTGCCTCCTTCCCCAGTGATAGGGTTGGGCCGGACATCTTTTGGGTGTGTGCAGACACAAATGAGGGTAGCAGACTCCAGGAGGAGGCTGTGTTTCTTGCTTTCAGTCTCCCGTTTGGCCACTTGCCCAGCCTAGGTAGAGTCTGCATTCCATTGGATCATCTCAACAATCCCCAGGAGTGGCTGCTTTAGAAAAAGGTCTATGGGTTAGCGCCTCATTATCCTCCAGCTCCCAACCCACAGTGACTTCCTCCAGTAATGTCCTCCCTCCATCTTATCTCCTGTCACAGTTAAAATGAATGCACTGCTTTTCTGTGTTGCTGTGATTGTCACTTCCTACCCCCCCCCTCACCCTGTATGCTTCTTTCAAGCAGGTTCAAGATGGCACTGCTCACAGCACCTGACACATGCATGTGCAAGGAATGGATGAACTGGAGCATCTGCCAGGGTCCCATGTCCCAGGAGGCTGAGGGGCAGAACGAGGGTGTCTCCAGCAGGGACTGCAGCAGAGATGGATCTGACTTCTAACCACTGGGTAAGATCTACTACTCAGAGAGAGGAACTGGCTGTACCAGCCGCAGCTTCCTGGACCATTTCGCAGAAGAAACCAAGCCAGAAAGACTACAAAGTAGTCAGCAGGGCAGTCACTCATCTCTAGACCTGTCACCTCAGCTTGTACCTTTAGCCTCGGAGAAAGTTCTTTCCTCAGTCATAGCACCAACAGCAATATTAAAATTGACCAGTTCCAGCTCTTGACACCCTCACAATAGCCTTCAGAGGTACATGGCAGTTTTATTTCCATTTTACAGGTGATGGTAAAGCTCAGGACATGATGTGTGTGCAGTGTGGCCTGGCATGTGATGGGTGGAGGTAAAACTGGTTTCTGATGAGCGGAACTCAGAGCAGATGTCCTAATCCCAGAGCTTTCTTTCTCCTGGATGTGTTTCTCTAATTGGATGGTGGGGGCAGGAGCAGTCTGCTGAACATGGCTCTACCCTTGTTGTTCACACATGCTGAATATCTCCACTCCCATCAGGCAAAGGGCAGCATTCACTTTTCCCGACAGACATTCACTGAACACATACTGAGTGCTAGACACAGTACTAGGCACACTGGTCAACTGAAGCAGATGAGAGCCTGCTTTCATCCAGCGTCTGTTCTAGTGGGAAATGATCAGACCGACATGTCTAATTATGAATTGTGGTACATGTGGTGAAGAAAAACTACAGCTTCTCTGAGGGAAGACATAATATAGACGGAGGGGTCAGAGGTGATAGTTACACACAAGCCATCCCTCCTCCAGTTGCTCAATCCTCGCAGAGAAGCAGTCAGGACTGCCTGCTGAGATTTGGGAATAAATGTGCTCCTCAATTTGCTTACCTCCAAGTGCCATTTTGCCCTGTATGGAAGCGAGAGGTTTTGAACTCCCAGGGTACTGTGACCTCACTGCAAAAGGCAAAGGAAAGCAAATTGGACTTTGTATTTTGTCGCTCTGGGATACAACAGGAAGGGCAGGGTCCCTACCCGGATTAGTGAAAGAGCGGCGGACCGCGCCTCTCTCCCTACGCTCGGAAATGCGGTGCTCTGTCGCCACCTGGTGGGAGGAGCAGATAATGCCGGGGCGGACCTCGGGTAGAATCCAGAACGCAGCTCCCTCCTGGCGGGCAGAGGCTCCTAAGGAGACAGGTTTGGGTGACTTCCTGGCAGCGGGCGGGGTGAGAAGGAGCGAGGGTGGAAAGGGAACTGCTGCCTGAAAGTCAACTGACTGGAAACCCACAATGGCCCCATTGTGTCCAGGGCCTTGACCTTGATTTCCTGCCACTCTCATCCCCAGAGTGGCATCGCTCGGGTCTGATTGGCCGGGAGTCCGCTCTGCGACAAAGGGCGGGCCGCGGGGTTGGACACCGGCGACAGGCTCCTGACGGCCCGGCCCGGTCTCCCTACTGCCACCCTCGGAAACGCAGGAGTGGGTGTGGGAAGGGACCGACGCTGTCATTTCCTCACAGCTGTCCACCAGCAGCAGGAGGCAGGCTGCATGAAGGGCTGCGCAGCCTCCTGACGAAGGCCTGGGACCTGCAGCAGGTGAGATACGCTGCCAAATTAATTGTGGGATCCTTAACACCACCCACGTTCTTTTAAAAAAATTACACGCATGGTTACACATTCCCTTGTAAAAAGTATTATGCATGACAGTAAAAATTAAAGCTTTATCACAGTCAAATCTAGGATAGCTGCTGTTGCTTAGTTGAGGTGTGTGTCCTTCTAGAGCTCATTTGATATTTGATAGGATGGTTTGCACCTATGAGAATACAGGATTGGGTGTACTTGCTCTCTGGGCCTCAGTTTCCTAATCTGAAAATGGGGGTGATAATAATAGGAAACTGCAGTTACCAAGGTTACCTGAGGTAATTCATGTGGAAAGCTCAGCCCAGCACCTGACAGTGTTGGTTATTCTTGTTGTCATCATTGCAGCCTTTGTCATTGTCACTGAGCCCCAGACCCAGTTGTGAGACCTCTATTGGCTCCCCTTTCCTCCCTGTACAGCCTGTTCCTCCCTTCCCCCTTCTCCCTCCTAATGAAACAGGCTGTGATAAAAATCTGTGTTCCCTGATTGGTGGAGGGGAGCTAGAAAGAGCAGCTGGTGTTTTTTTGCATGCTCTCCCCTCCCTCCCCTCTCTCCCCTCTCTCCCATATTTGACCTGGATGTGACCATTCGCCCTCCCACAGAGAGAACATTCCCATTCCAAACCCAAGGAAGTGGTGTTCATGGCCCACATGGCACTGTGGGACCCCTGGTAGCCACTCTCCACATAGGCTGTCCCTGAGTGAGGGAAGGATGAGGCCCATCAGAGGAAATGGTGGGGTCTGCTGAAAGAGCACAAGGAAAGTGTGCTAATACATGCCGCAAAAGAGTTGCATCACCTCTGTCTGAGCTTGGCTTCTTCACCTGGATGATAGGTATGACAGTAGCTTCCACAAGCAGATGTGTGAATGATCTGGTGCCTGCACAAAGACCTCGACTGAGAAAGTCCCTAATACATAGTAGTTTTTATATTGTAAAGCAACATGTCCTATTTATTTAGCATTTCAAGTTTCAGAGGAAATTGATATCTTCTCTTAAAAACAAGCTAGTTTTGACTGTATGGAAGAAGTTTGGCTTTGATGTATAGGCTTCTAACTGACTTCACCTGGGCTTTGTGTTGAGGCCTCTGAATGCTACCTCCTGGAACTGTTTTTGGTCCACTGAGACTGCTCAGAGCTCCTCGCAACCAGAGATCTCTAAGATAGCAAAGAACCTCTCTGTTCCAAAGGATGCCACAAGAAGACCTCCATGGGAAACAGACAGGATCAAATCACTTATTCAGCAAGCACCCACTGGGCACCTGCTCTGGGCTGGGCCTGCCTGCACTCTCACAGCCAGAGGGTCCCTGCAATTTGATTTAGGAGAAACCCTCCTTGCTAATATTTATTCAGTGCTTGTTAGGTACCAACTGTTTTTTGTTTTTGTTTTTGGTACTGGGAATCAGACTCAGGACCTTGCGCTTACCAGGCAGGTGCTTAAGGTACTGAGCTATCTCCCTGGCCCCGAACTGTTTTATAAGACATAAAACAAGTCTAAGATGTGGGAGAGTCTTACCCTCAAGTAATTTATTTTCTAGTAGTTTCTTGTACATGGTGCTTTCTCTGCTTTTTAAAAAGGTATAGTTTATACATGTTAAAATTTTCTCAGTAAACAGTTCTATGAATTTTACCTGCCTTCGTCTGTATGTAGGTATGTATAAAATTCTACATACTTTTTTGGGGGGAGGGTAGTACTTGGCAGTGAATCCAGCATTGCTTTACCACTGAGTTATATCCCCAGCCCTTTTTTAAATTTTATTTTGAAACAATTTATTGTCTAGGCTGATCTTGAACTTGTTGGGATCCTCCTTCATCAGCCTCCTGAGTAGCTAGGACATCAGGTGGCTATCACCATACCTGGGGAGTTCTCTGCACTTTTATCCTGCATATATATTTGTATAAACACATTAAGAGATAGCTACTACATCACCGCAGAACCCCTTAGTGCTACCACTTTGCATTCACATCCACACCCAGTTCATTCTTCCTAGTCTCCCTGTCACCCCCCCTTCACCCACCCCCACAACTACTAATCTGTTCCCCATCTCCCCTCTACACCTCACTTCCCTCCAGTCACAATGACTTCCTTTCAACTGGCTAAGCATGCTCCTCCCTCAAGCCTTTTCACTCTCAGTACCCTCGGCCTGGAATGTCCTTGCCTCACTACCATAGCTCAGTCCCTTCCCTTGTTTGATTCCCATCTACTGGCAGCTTGTTGGAAGTAAATGGAGCCCCCAAACTTGTGCTCACCTTCACAGCTCCCTATTAATCTTGGTCCTATTTAATCCTGGTAGCACTTACCTCTGCTTACAATGATACAGAAGGGATGGTTGACTGCTTCTGTCTTTCTCCCCTGAGGGAAGAGCTTGGTTTTTTGATGACCATCTGCAATGCTTAATACAGTAGATGGTACCTACCGAGCGCCAAGAAGTAGTTGTGGAATTAATGTGTCCAGGAAACCTCTTGTGACCATCCTGTCATTCTTTTGTTCTCTTTTACCCAGCTGTCATTGTGCCAACCAGGATGTAGCAAGAGGAAGCTGCCTGTGCACCTGCTTCACTCACCTCTTTGCTCTTTCCAGGGCTTCCCACTGATCTCCAGGACTTAAGCCTGGAAGTGTGAATAAGTCAACCTCAGACCCACTGTGGCTAGAACTGGTGCCAACAGGCTCCTTTCTAACACTTGGTGAGCAATTCTGAGGGCCGCTCCACACTGCTGCTCAGCGTATCCCAGCTGGAGTCAGCCCTTGTGGTCCCACAGTGGTGAGCAGCTCCACAAACACCATTGTACAGGCTTTCCTGGCTCCTGTTCCTGGATAATGTCTTGAATTAACTTCCAAGTAAGCCCTTCCTTTGCTTTTTCTCTAACTATAGGTAAGTAGCAGGGATGGAGAGAATTAAACTGGAACAAATACATGGAACTTACAGATTAATGGTAAAGACCTATAATAAGGAAAAAGAAGCAAAATTTAAATTACTACAGTACAGGGGCTGGTGAGATGGCTCAGTGGTCTAAAGCACCTACTTAGAACAAGCTTAGCAAAGCACAGGGACCACGGTTCAATCCCCCAGCACCACATGCCAGCCAGCCCCGCCCCCTAGTGGGCTGAGCTGGCCACACACACACAATAAATAAATTTTTTTTTAAAAAAATTACCACAGTACAGGTGGAAGCATAGACTTGTAACCAATGGAGTTGGAATAAATGAATATCTATATAGAAATCAAAGCAGCTCAGTCCTGTGTTTACTACATGTTCAAAGTGGATCAAAGAATTAAATTATTTTTGAAAACTGAGAATAAGAGAAGACCTTATGGTCTTGGGATGGAGAGCAATTACAGGAAGATCTCATAAAAACAAAAAAGACTACAGTAAGAAAATCAAAAGGTAAAAAAAAAAAAAAAGAAAATGAAAAGGTAGTTTGCACACTAAAAGTTTTGTAATTCGTATTTGCTTTTCTTAACTAACACATTATATCTACTACCCATCCAGCTTTGCCATGTCCTAATCTGTACTTTACAAACATAGACTAACAGCCCAGTAGAAGTATTTTAAAAGTTTTGAGTTTGGCTAGAAACAAAGTTGCAGCCTGTAAAGACAGAGCCGAAGAGATGTTGGCAGATGAAAAGATGAACGCTAGAAAGCCAAGTACTTTGAAACAGGACAATAGAAAAGGTAGCCTGTGGGCCTCACAAGAACCAGCAGGGCTTCACCCTTCCTAGTCTCAAAATTACCAAGTGAAAGACTTTGCTTAGCGAAGAGTGCCCCAGGGCACCATGTTTCACAGTGTCAGTGACCTAGGGAATGTATTACTTGAGACTGGACATGGCCATCCAAGCACGTGAGCTGTACCAGGAAGAGAAAAGTAAGACCGGCTGCTACTCCAGCTCGCAGCAGACCTTGGTATCACCCACGTGGTGCTGGCTTTAGGTGCAAACACAATGCAAGAGTTTCAGGGGCAGGAAGTTTCCACCCATATTTCAGAAGGCCAGATACACCAGACATTGTGCCCTTGCGACAGCAGTGTGTGAAGCTGTGAGTGTGAAGTCAAAGGTGCAGTGGAGATCTCAGAAGGTTAGAGAAGCCAGGAACATGGGTCATCTGAGGAAAGTTGCAAGGAGTGAGCAGAGCTGGTCCAAGAGAGAGGCTATGAGGACTATACCCACCATCAGTGCTATAGGGGCAGGGCCACCCAAGCCATTTGGGGTTCACTGCTTGCCACAGATTGTTGCAGATGCTAGATTTAATCTGTGCCATGCTGGAGTTTGGCCTTGTTTTGTTCTCTCGCTCTCGCTCTTTTTCCCTCATTCTTTTCTGTCCCCCTATTTCTGTCTTTTACACTGGATGAAGGGATCTGACCACTACCATCCTGGTCTGAGTAGAGACCATTTTAAGTCCCTGCCCCTGTATGCTTTTTTCTTTTCTTTTTTTTAAAGACAATGTCTTCCTATATAGTCCAGGCTGGCCTTGAACTTGCAGTGATCCTCCTGCTTCTGTTTCCCAAGTGCTGGGATTACATGAGTGTACCACCACACCTGAGCTCTGCTATGCTTTTGTGACTGCCTCACATGTATGTTCCTCAGTAAACAAGGCCCAGTAAGTACAGCTGCACCCTATCATTCCCAGTCATTGTTCAATCCTGCTCTTGACAAACAAATAAAACTTGTATGTTTCTAAGCCCCATCCCAGGTGGATAGCCACAACTCCTTTGTACTGAACTCTCTGCCTTGAAAGTCCCACTGTGGCTTTTTCCTTCCACATCCCCTCCCCTTTTTATATGTTCACGACCCTATAAAAGACCTATAGCCTGAGAGTTAACGAGTCTGGTCTCTAGTGCCAGAGCAGTCCATCTCAGATTTATTCTGAAATAGACCTTTGCTGTTACCTCTGTTTCTTTTCCTTTTTTATTTATTATTTATTTTTCTGACACTGGGAATGTTTATCTTGTACCATTGTACAATGGAAATGTTTAATCTTCTTTTCATTTATACAGGGGCTTGCAGCTAAGAGTTTGCCTTAAACCTCACAGGAGAGTTTGAACTTGCGCTCTTCAGCAATACAAAAACCGTTAGGACTTTGGCAGCTCTTAAGAGATAGATTAAACATATTTTACATAAAGGGATATGCATGAGTCTCTTGGGGTTGGGATGCAATGTTATGGGTTATATCTAGATGTCTCCTGAAATATGAGGCACTCAAAGGTGAAGTTTTTGGGAGGCAACTGCTGGGTCACATGTGTGTCCTACTGGATTAGTCCCCTGATGGTTTTATGGCTGGATGCAATGCTGGCAGGTGAAGCCTGGTGGGAGGCAGGGCACCACTAGGGGGTATACCTCAGATATAGAGTCTACCCAAGGAGCCAGGGAGATAGCTCAGTAGAATAAATGCTTGCCTGGCAAGTGCAAGGGCCTGAGTTCAATCCCTGGTTCTGCCAAAATAAGTAAGTAAATAAGAATAATCCAACTGAGTCTACCCAAAAAGGTACACACACTTCAGCAGTTTGCCATACTAGTAAATGTGTGGGAGCTAATGGCCACCATTTTGATCAATTCTTATAATTGTAGAGAACAAAGGTAATATGTTAATCTCATGGTGTCTCAATGAATTAATTTATTTATTTTAAGATAGGGTCTTGCTATGTAGACCAGGTTGACCTTGAACTCATTATGTAGCTCAGGCTGGCCTCGAATTTGTGGCTGACCTGCCTCAGTCTCTCAAGTGCTGAGATTAGAGATGTATGCCCCCACACCTGGCTCAATACATTTAGTATTAAAATATTCATACAAATTCTTCTTTTCTTGATGTATACATTTTAAAAAATATATTCCCCCTGCTTTATGTGTTAGCTACTTCCTGCATGCCATGCCATGAGCTGTGTCTCCTCTGTGATGTCCTTCGCCATGCCACCCTGCCTTAGAGCCAGCTGACCAGGGACTGAAACCTCCACAGACTGTGATCTCAAATATGCCTTTCCTCCTTTAACTTGTGACTGTTGGGCATTTTGTCCCAGCAATGAGAAAGTAACTGAAAAAACTTACTAGTCAGTAATAAAAAGGAATAAAATACTGATAAATGCTGTAACATGAATGAACCTTAAAAACATCATGCCAACTAAAACAAGCCAGACAAGGTATATGGCATATGATTACATTTAAATCAAGTTCTTGAACAAGCAAAGCTAAGCCAGGAGATAGAGGGCAGAGCAGAAAACAAATAATCAACTAGGCTGGCCTATGCAGGCAGAGATCACCCCTGGCCCTGCTGTGAGGTAATGGGGAAGCCCTGAACCAGGGTGAGGGCCAGGCAGGGAGAACCCCCAGGCTCTGCCAAGACTGGTGTAGCTGCCCCAGTAGAGGAAAAGATCTGAAGTATATGAGGTACTGAGACCGTAAATACTAATTTTCATGTGCATCTGCTTCCTGGGCGGGCTTGGCACACCTGAAGCTCCACAGGCCCTGGTCCTTGGGAGTAAGAAGCAGAGGAGGGAAGATGGGGGCCAGTAATCCGGATGCACAAAGCTATGTCACTGCTCATTCTGATACAGACTCCATACTGGGCTGCCAACTCAGCCCCTCTGGGGGTGGAGGAGGGAACAGGATGGGCATACTTTCATCCTGAACTGGGACTAAAGCAACCCAGAGATCAATGTGAAAGTGACATCTAACATAAGGCTCTGGGTATGATGGCAACTTTTGTGTCCATGGTGCAGCTGAAGAATTATAGTATGGTGGCCCTGGCCATGGTGTGTTGCAGTGACTCCTGATCATCTTTAAGCACATCAGTAGTGGGAATATAGATCTGCCTTTTCTCTTTTAGGTTATTGATGGAGATGGCCAGGGAGACAATGAACTGGAGAGCAAGTTCTGTGCAAAGGTGTCAGCTCAACCCTCACAACAGCTCTCTGTGGCCGGACCTACTGTTATTCCCATTTCACTGACAAGAAACTGAGTCTTAAAAGCATTCGGTAAACTGTGCTGTGTCCCAAGGTGAGGACATAGGAGACCGGGGCTAGAGCACACATCTCTGCACACTGATAACCATCCCATTGCCCTGCCTCACCCAGAGTGGGAGAAGTCACTGCATAATTATAAATGATCTTCCAAAGTGGGTACAAACTTTCTTTACCCCCTCCCTTCCAAAAGGCATAATGAGTCTTTCTTATGTGTCTTCCAAATAGGAGATTCCCAGGATCCAGAGGAGCTGGAAATTAGAGCCGCATGGTACAAATTCACTTTCAGGGACCTAGCCAGTAGTACTTGCCTGGGTCTTCTAAGAATCTCACAGCAGTGCCACATGCCTCGGCTTTATCTAAGCAACAGAAGGTGGTGGTGGTGGCGGCGGTGGCGGCAGCAGCAGCAACAGCAAATCTGTCCCTGGTGCACTAGAGTGCTGTTTTGCTCTAATGAAACACACATGGCATATGGTTGCAAAGTTACTATCTTGAGAGCAGATAGAAATGGGATTTTTTTCCCTGTGCCAGATTTCACTTCCTTTCCTGAAACAATTCTTATAGTAAACAGAGGTTTTCTGATCTTGCTAAGATCCGAAGATGGGAATTCCTTTACACTCTTTAAGAATATTGTCTTAGAGCATTTTGGTCTGTTGATGGTGCAGATCTTTGTTGTTGTTTTGGTTTGGTTTGTTTTAAACATGGAAGCCTTCCTGTGCTCTTTCCCTCTCCCCACAAAGGCCAGGGCAGGAAGAAGGCTGCCACTGCCTGGTGATCAACTCCATTCCAGTTACAGACCACCCTAATGATGAGACCTCCATATGTGTGGCCCTGTGGATGCTATCCCTTGGCAAATGGGCTGGGGAAAGGAAAGGTTGCTGAGTGTAGGAGGCCACTGGGCGGAGGCGGTAAGGAAGGACTGGGAAGCGAGTAGAATGTGACTTTCAGGAGGAGATTTATTTTGAACCAAGTCTTATGTGCTGACAGCATAATGATCATTATTAGGGCCTCAGATATAACATGAAGCCCGCCCTGAAGTTAAATTTTTCCTTTCAGATAAGCATGGCCTGTCAGCCCAGTGTAAGACGGTTCTATGCCAGCCTCCTCCACGACAGGGAGCTGGAATGCTCCGGCTGCTCCCTCCCTGGTACCTTTCATTAAGGCCTTGGCTTTTTTAGTAAATATTGCTCTATTTTTCTACTTTAGTCTTTTAAAATCAACCTGAGAATCACTTTGTAGAAGCAGTACAGATGTATTTGTAGTTCTTTACCCATATGTAGTTTCAGGGGTGGGTCTGTAATCCTACCTCCCCAGGGACCTTCCTGGGCACAGTGAGACCCCTAACAGAGGGAGACATCTGTGCCCTGTGCCCTGAGTTGCCCTGAATTATGCCCAGAGGATTGTTTCATATTCACAGTGATTTGTAAATTGGTTTTTGCATCAAAATCCTGTTTTCTGGCTTCTCTTAAAAGAAGAAGAAAAGAAAAGAAAAAAACCAAAAAGCTGGCCACATTGAGCCATGCACATTCCTTTAAAAAAAGTGCCTGGTTCTGAGTAATAGTCACTGTCTTTGCAACTATGTTCTGGTTCATCATAGCACCCCCAATACTCTCCATCACTTCCCATACACACCCTAAGAGCAAGTATAAACTAAAACTATGAGTCTGTGGGTTCCAGCCTTGGCCCACCACCTGCTTCCTATGGCCCCCAAGCATGTGTTCGCCTCTTTCTGAGGCCAGTTTGTAATGCTTAGAAAGAAAAATATAATGAGATGATGTATGTAGAGCCTTTCCAGAGCCTGGAAGGGAGAAGCACTTGCTGAGTATTGGCCATGTGTGCTTATTGGTGTATGCTACCATTTTTTGCTGACGACACAGAGGAGACTTGAAGACAGTCTGCAAATGGACTCATGTACTAGAATCTAGGCTTCATACCTGTAAAAAGTAAATATTTTCCTTATCGTATATCCCTGAACCTTAGTATAGTCCTTGGCACATGCATTCAGCAAATATTTAATGAATATGTGGATTTAATATTTCCCTGACTTTTTATTCTTCTTATATCATATGCCAAATGATTATTGGCCCATTTTATAAATATAAGTGCAAGTAGACTTTCAAGTTCGTTTGTTTTTTCTTTCTTTCTTTTTGGGATAGAATCTCACTATATAGTTCAGGCTTGCCTCAAACTCACTCTGTAGCCCAAGCTGACCTTGAACTCATAGGAATCCTCCTACCTTACCTTCCTGAGTACTGAGATTACAGGTGTGTACCAGCAGGCCTAGCACAAACTTGTATTTGTATTTTTTTTTATCATTTCTAATTTATATGTGCTGGTTTTCTTTCTGATTGTTTAGAACAATTAAAAGGCAAGGAGGGGCCACTGAGATAGTTCAGTGGACTAAGTACCTGCTTAAGCAAGTGCAGGGACTGGGATTCGATCCCCAGCACCACATACGGCACTGGCCCTGCCCCTGGGCATGGTGGTGCATGCCTGTAATCCCAGCACTGGGGAGGCTGAAAACAGGATCACCATGAGTCCAAGGTGCATAGTGAGACCCTGTTCCAAATAGATTAAAAAAAAAAAAAAAGGCAAAGAGATACTTCGGAGTTGATGAGAATTTCACTGCTATAGCCTGGGAGAAAGATGTCTTTTCCTCTAACGTTGAGTTTCTTAGACCTCTATCACGATGCCACCCCACTTCAGGAATCAGTCCTTCAAAAAGTCACAATTAGAACAGCATGCATTTATGTGGCTCCTCTTGAGCCCTTCAGGTCCAAATGCATTTGGAGTAGTAAGTGCTCCTTGAGGCATCTTTCTGAGGAGAGTGCACTTAGGCAAAACCTATGACAGGTCCTATTCCATCTTGCGAAGGCTCTCCCTCTGAGTGCTACAGTCTGCTCCCCTTTGGAGGCTCCTTTCCTGAAAAAAAAACAAGAGACTGTCAGTTGGCTCCCAAGTGAATCTGAGTGTATTAGAGCATTATGTTGACCCTGCAGGAACTTTCAATAAGCTTGTGATTTTAGTACTGGTTGCTCATTGGGGTCAACTGAGTTTCTTATTTGCTCAGCATCCATTTCTCCTTCTGGGAAGAACTAAACTTCATATTGTTCACACTTTTATCTGTGAGATTTGGAGGACACATAAGCTCACTTCCAGCTCCAGGAGAGAATATGGAATCAGCTGAAGTGTCACATCCCTTGGCCACCGCCACACATTCAGAGAAAAGCAAGTTCCCCAACCCAGTCCAAACACTGAAACTCCATTCTAGAGCTTTTCTGAATACTTTTATAGGAAAGAGAGAGTATTTCACTGTGAGAATGAAATTCTGACATACTCTGAGGGCCTCTCTGGGAATGATATCATGTAGCAAAGAGCACAAGACAGATTTCTGTTGATGGTATTTGAGTGCCAGGATCCTGCTATTCCTGAAGCTTAGATTCACTCCTGGATTTCTGGTTTCCTGAACCAATGTCCTATGTTTGGGGGAACCAGGGATTGAACTCAAGCCCTTGCGCTTGCCAGGGAAGCGCTTATTCTACTGAGCCATCTCCCCAGCCCCCCCCCCCACCCATGTCCTATCTTTTCCTCTTAAACTTTTTGAATAGTACTTCGGCATTTTCAGTGAAAAGATTCTTGATTAGCAACTTGGAATTTTAAAAATGTAGATTAAGCTGGGCATGGTAGTGCATACCTGTGATCCCAGCACTCAGGAGGCTGAGGCAGGAGGCTCACTGCAAGTTCCAGGCCATCCTCGGCTACAGTGAGTTCAAGACCAGCCTGAACTACATTCATCTTTTTTTGTTGCTGTTTGTGGTACTAGGGATCAAAATCAGGACCTTCTGCTTGCCAGGCAGGTGCTTATGCTCCTGAGCTATATCCCTGGGGCCTCAGCCTGAACTACATAGTGAGACCTTGTCTCACAAAACCAAAACACACAAACACACACACACACACACACACACACACGAAAAAAAGGCATAAAACTCTGGGACCCATTGCTCGGGTGAAAACCCAAACTTTGAACCATGGCCAGAACCAAACAGATGACTTTTTCTCTCCATATATACCTCAAATTTTAGAACAGTAGACTAGGAAGCAGTAGGAAAAATACAATTTTTTTCTCATTTCCTTAATACTTCTGTATGAAAGAAGGCTGCCCATTCTTCATCTTTGTGCACATGTGCTGGCCACATTCACTGGCTTTTCTTTTAGATCTGCTAGTCTGTCTGCTTCCACTGAGATATGGGGAGACATTGAAATAAGCCAGAGGCCAGGTCTTGGCAAACTTCTTTAATATTTTAAAACTCTCTTTAATTGACTGAGAGGAATTCTGCTAGTGTTTGCTATTGAGACTGTGAGCACCAAAAAGTTGTTCAACTTGTGTAAATAGCTTCGTTTAATAGGAGCATAACACTTGGTCCAGGGGACCCATTCCTTACTTTTCTACTGTAAATTTATATGTTAGCATAATAGTAGCAGGTTGTGGGTCTCAGTACCTTTCTCTGAGAGATACAGGAAGCAACCCATGTGTTTACCCACTTGGTAAGGTGTATGCACATGTACAAAAGTGGAAAAATGGGATTTTTACCTACATTATATTCCAGCTGACTGGTTTTGAATACGTTTATCCAAGCATCACAAAGGGTCCATTAGACCCACTCCCTCCAGGATTTTTTTTTTTAAGTTTCCTTCTGATTTTTCTGGTAGAAGTCGCCCAGTTCAGTACAATGGCACATGAAACACCAGATTTGCAAATTTTAGAGGCAGTCAAAAGTGAATCATCAGATATACATGGATGACACAGATGATCCATTATGGTAAAATAACATGATTCATTATGCTTTCATACCAAAAGAGTGGTGTAGGTATATGATGATGGTTGTTATGGTTTGTGTATAGTTGTTCCCCCAGTCTCCATGCAGTCTTGGGGCAGCTTCAGGAGTTTGTGATTGATTATTGTTGGTGTGGATGCCGCACTTGCCCTGGGGCAGGTAATTTGCATTACAATATAAGGAGGGAAGAGAAGCTAACTGCTAGAGCTGCTGCTACCCCTCCCTTTTGCTCTTGCTCTTTGCTACTGCCATGAAAGGTTGCTTTCTGCTATGTGCTACTCTGCCTTGGACCCAGTTGAATATGGACTGAAACCTCCAGTAACTGTGAGCTAAATAAACCTTTCCTTCTTTCAATTTGGCTGTCGGGTATTTGTTCCAGCAACAAGAGAAGAGTAACTAAGACAATGGTGATGATGACTTTGACATTGGCCATGTGAGCCAAAGTTGCTGTGACAGTGAAACGGAGCAAGAATTGACTGATACACAAAGAACACAGATCTCCTTGATTTAGATGACAAAAATGGCAATGTGAGCACATATTTAACTAGTTGAAATGTTGTAAGGTAGCCTTGCAACCAAATGGACAGTTGTATCCAATGATTTGATCATTGGATAGAACTAGGTTCAAAAGTATAGTGGGAGTCTTGGCAGGGGTTAAGTGTATTGGACAGAATGCCAGCACTGCCATTCAGTGTTGGAAATCATAACAGATGAAATGCTACAAAATGCTGAGAAATGCACAAAGGCTGTATTCAGCAATAGTCATGTTCAAAATGTATTGTGACGTCTCACTAGCTGAACTAAAAGCATTCATGCATCTGCTGTACTTAGCAAGGATTTCTCATGGTGATCACAGGAATGCAAAAAATTTATGGAAAAGCAGTGGGTCAAAATATGACATAAAAATGTATGCCCTTGTAAATGTGAGGACGTGTTTTCACTTTAGATATTTATCCTGGAAATCAACCATCAAGTCCTTATTCCTATAGGAATACGTCTATTATGAGCAGTCTTGTTGATTCCATATTCCAAACCAATTGGAATATGACATTTGGCAGTTGATTTACTAATTTCCAATTGATGTTACATTTGCTAATAGAGCACAAGTCGACCAGTGCAGGAACTGTATGCAGGAGCAAAGCAGAAATTCCAAATAAAATGTTGCAATTTCAAAACAGAGAATTGTATAGTACAATCTTTTTATTTCATAAAGATATAACATTGGCCTTGTATATGGCAAAGAAAAACAAACTTGTACTGCTGATGTCAACATTTCACCATGATAGAAATACTGACAGGGAAACCTCTACAAAATGGAAGGCTGAGATGCAAACTTCCTTCAACAAAACCAAAGGTGGGTTAGATATTGTTGATGAGTTATGCAGCAACTGTAATGTCACTTAAAACACAAAACATTGGTCATTGCTTTGTGCTTAACTTTATCCTAAACATGTATAGCATAAACAGTTTGCCACAAAGAAAATAAGTGAAAAATATGGAGAAATTTTCTTAAAAGATTGGGACTGGAGCTCATAAGCAATCATGTAGAGAAAAAACTAAATTTTTCTACCAAAAAAAAATTGTGGAACACACTGGTAAGCTGGCAGGTGAACAGGCAGATGCAATATCACAAAGGCCCACTACTACAACAGGAAAACCAAAAAGATGTCAACTGTGTCCTACAGGAAGGACAGGAAAACAAAACCTATGTGCTATCAGTGTAAGCAATATTTGTGCATGCAACACGCAGTTTTCATGTGTGGAGACTGCCTTGGGTGTGACAGTTGAAGCAAAGATTATTTCCATGGTAGACTTTTGTTTGTGTTTATATTGTAGTTCACACAAATTTTTATTTTTCATATTTTAGGTTTTGTAAGCAAGTAAACAGCTGATATATAAATGCTGATGTCTATTCTTTTTTAATTTTTTTAAAGCTTTATTTGGTGTAAGGTCTCACTAAGCAGCTCAAATGCATAGTGATCCTCCTGTCTCAGCCTCCCCAGCGCTGGGATTACAGGCATGCACCATCACACCTGGTTTCAGTGGCCAGCATGGCAAGCCTGGGGTTCTGGGACCAGCAGGGCACACAGTACCAGGAATTGAACCCAGGTCCTTGTGCTTGCCAGGTAGGTGCTTAGACTGCCAAGCTATCTCTCCAGCCCTGTTAATGTCTATTCTAAGCACTCATTATAACTTTATATTTTATTTTGTTGACATATTATTTCCTTGCAAAGTGCATGGTATAGAATAAAGTAGGAATCTCCTGAGAAAACAGCAAGACTGCTGAGATGTCAAGTA